CACCAGCATGTCCAAGACGGCGGTGGGCTATTTCGGCTGAAATACTTGCCATGGAGAGGCCAATTTGTTGTAAGCCACAGTCTTTGTGTTTGAGAAACGGCACTCCTGAGTGAAAGAAAACACGTCCTACTACTGCCTTTGAGGCTCTGTCATGTAGGGCGTAAGTGTCATCGTTGTAGGCGAATTGTATGTCACGGTGTAGTTTACAAGCTCCCAACAGGTTATATTTCATACCTGGAGAGTACATAACTGGAATTATGACATCCAGTAGGCTGTTATCATCCTGTAATAAGGTGATTTTAACTTTGCCATATCCGCATGCAGTCCCTTTGTTTCCCGGACAGGAGGTTTCCCATTCATATTTAATACCATCCTTGAACTCGACGTAATCGAATATCCAATCTCTTTTTGTGCACAAATGATTGCCTGAGCCCGTGTCTAGGAGCCATTGCTGTGCTCCCAATTCATTTGGGATCTTAATGAGAGTTTCTTCGGTGTCCGGATCACTTGATAAGCCTTGTTTTAAAGGGGATGTTTGGTCCACAGCCATATCTGCAATTTCATCCAGAATCTCATCCTGTTGATCGAACATCTCTTCGTTCTGAGAGATGCATGCACGATTGTAAACTGACTGTATGTATTCATCATAGGGATCATCAGGGATCATCAAATTAGCTGTTTCAATAGCCATCGCATGGTAGTGGCGGTTATAGACATCATCAAGATAGGCGTCTGTAGCTATCGCAGCTGCGGCTGTTGCTGCTGTAGGGGGTGGTGGTGGAGAAGTTTCTTCTGTAGACTTAGTCTCTGATGGAGGTTTACATATCTCGCAGTCCAGACCAGGTTTGTAAGCCCAGTATTTATCCAATGGAGTCCATCCTTTACGTCGTAGCCACGGACATAGATACCAGCATGTTTTGGCCTTATGGCCTTTGAGATTGCAATGTCCACACCCTCCAGATCTGTTGTCTTTTCTCTTTCTGACGATTTCGACCCATTCTGTTTCTGTCTTGTCCTTTGGAGGTGTTCTGTATGGCTTAGAATCCTTTTCCTTGTCCTTATTCTTGTCTTTGCGGTCTCGGCCGGTTGCCTGCATCGCGGGAACAGCGCCATCTTCATCATTCAGCCTTAGCTGCTGTCGAATGCTCTTTGAGTGTTGGATTAACATTGTATCGGTGAAATCGTTCGGGTTGATATCCTCTTGGTCTAGCTTCTCATACCACTTCTCTCTAACCTTATCCGGTACCTCGTCAAGCATAGTAATAAACGCCCAGTATGGGGATGGCCCCATTCCTTGTTTCCGGAGCTCAATAACGTTGTGTACGTATGCACGGACATAGTGAGACTTTAGGGGGGAAGTCAGAACTTGACATCAGGCGGCAGGCTCTAATTCTTTTCGCTCTTGCCAGTGTGTTATGTTTCTCCACTAGCTTCACAATCTCTTTATAGAGTGTATCTGCGTAGCCTCTCTTCACACGGGTAGTCGATATTTCGAGTTCTTGCCATAGTTCGGGGATGATGTTGTCTTTCAACCACACAGCCATGTCGGCAGAGATATCCCTCCATCTCATAGCATTCTCATTTTCAATGTCTTTTGTCGGTCTGGGAATATTCACGTCAATCAGGTCTAATAGACCATCCTTTGCTAGAATCAGCCGAAGATCTTTGTCCCATTCTTCGAAGTTCTCATCGCTATTTAGACAGGTGGTCAGCTTCGGATAAGTGATTGTCTTCGTCGGCAACCGATCCGCTTGTGTCCTGTTTTCTGCTGTCCGAAATAGTTCTGCACCCCATCCATCTGCATCATCATCGTCTCCATCAAAATTGTGGCGATCCGCCATGTCGGCGTGCCGGAGAGTGTGTGTCTTTGGTGGTGGGTGATATGAAGTAAAGTAAGAGATCCGGCCCGACGCTCAGGGCCGGCGAGGTGTTTTCTGTTGTATTCGCTCGTGACGGTGATCAAGTATCAGGTGTCAGGTATGTGCTGCCGGGCTCATAACCTGTTGGAGGATTTGGATTTGGATGTCTACGAGTGAAGAAGGCCAGAAACACGTATTGAAGGAAGCGTGAGGAGGGAAGGATCTCCACGTGCAAGTGAGAGCTAGAGTATATGGCCGCAGTGGTCCAATATCTACACGCGTAACGCGCCGGACCACTGACAGATCATGGTCAACTCACTAGCCCCTTGGGATGCCAGAGATCTTAGAAGCTAATATGTATCTTCCAGGCTACGGTACATACAGTACAGTAACAGTATACCAAATGGGCACAAAATTCTTTACAGGTGTGGTTTTGGGAGACCATAATTGTGAGTGAGATTTTGGTCATATGAACCACCGATTCAGTTCGTGCACGCAACAGTATTATATCCAGGAACATTGAGACATACTCCTAGGAGGACTTAATTCAACTTCACTTCACATGCGCTATCGTTAAGCCGGATATGGAGGATCCTAATGAGATAAAGTCATGTTTGCTCCTGGGAGCGATTTCGGGTTTCAGCCGACTTACCAAGAGCGCGTTATCAACAGCACTCTCTAGACCCTCGTACTCTGTAGCAATATCCGAGTATATCCCGGGCGTGACTATCCCCACGCAGACGAGACCCTTAGCTTATGGGGATTTGCATCTCGAAACTTCGCATTCGTACCCGGTTGCTCGGAATTTTGAATATATCACTGGGAACTCCCGATTTGCAGCAGTCTTCACGCAGCGTGCCCGTCCAGGATGTGGATGGGAAAATAATTGAAACGGGATTTGCATCCGTTGGCGGATAGATTTCATTATGCTCATCTAACACGCTGCGCTCTTTAATTCTATAGTATGGTTTGAGTGTTTCTTTTCCACACCCAACCATATTTTTGCGTGACAGATGTTGGAAGATGGACTCAACTTGAACTCTGATAAGTGTTGATGCTAAAGCACAGTATGTAGATAGACCGGTTAGACCCGCGAAGCGTAATCTGAGGTCTTCGAATAGTACATATCTTCCTCTTCCTTACCGAACATCTAGTGTAGTCCCTGGTGTCGATTGAAGTCATTTTCAGTAGTAGGCCAGACTATAGTACATGAACTATGCTAATTTCCAGATATGAGACAGCTTGGTTAGGAGACAGACCATTCTCAGCTCCCGGTGAAGATTTGTTTGGGTATATACGCATCGATGGATTCTTGCTGACCATTTTCCTATTGTTTTATATTTTCAAGTGCCATAGGTTATTCCACAATAGCAGCTACAGACACCCATCATAAACGTCCGGATAAGTGATTCACTAATTTTTAGCCATGTTTTGACAAGAGGGATCATCACCTGTGCTGCATGATGAAAAGACTGCGGGGGCCTCAACTGAGTGATCTCCGATGATATTGATTCACATTGAATCGGCTCACGGTGACTGAATCTCTGCTTATGGAATCATTCCTTTTATTTCCTAACGCATTCAATGCCAGCAGCCGAGGACCCTACACTGCGCATATAATACACCCCTTTTCCTAATGAACGGCATTACATACGCTGAGCACAGTCTTCTTCCCTTGTAAATGGATGAAAAAGATAGCTCAGAGTGGCATATTTGGGTTGAAGAGCTTCTTTCTTTTATAAAACACGGTATGCTCATTCCTGCCCTAGATATTGACAGAACTCTAAAATACCATAGATTGGAGGAGTACCGAAATATTCTGGGAGGTGAGAGACTCAAAGTCTTGGATACAAAAATGGACAGATTCAATTTCCCGTGATACATCCTTCCTGATGTCAATACATGACTTCGAATCATGGCGGACCCGACGGTTATGCCAGCGCTCATACTTAAAAGCAAGGTCCGAAGTCAAAATGTTTCGACGGAATCTCAAGCACGGAAACCCAAGTTCCGTATCGATTGACCAAATAAGAGAAGTGGTTTATGGGCATTACGCTAGATCAATGACTGATATTGAGTCCTTGACCGGTAAGATCACGCACGGGATGAAAAGTCGAAGGAACGTATTGACTTTGGCAGACTACCGCTTTCCTTGCTTCAAGACATATGTAAAGGGCGAAGATTTTTCATGGTGATATGGAGGAGAGCACTTCTTTGAGCAACAGCATAAGTAAGCGAATTGCTGCGAAGCTTTTGTCATGAAATGGCCTGCGTTAGTTAGCTGCTTCTGATTATCGGCTTCCGCGGTGAGCCACCTTTCGGGCTCCCAGGATCTCAGTCGTTACCAATTAGACCCCACATTTTTCAAAGAATGCTTTTGATCAATCATTAAGCTTACCCAGTTGATACACGAGACGTGTCCAATCAGATGCCACTGCGAATCTAGATACTGGGCAAGGTCCCAGTACTCATATACATCCTAGGACCCATTGGGCTATAGAGTACAGGATGGATCGAAATCAGTTTCACCACTTGCACACGGAGATTCTTTCTCGAACCCTCTTTCAAAACACGCTATGCCTATTTTAGTTACTCTATTCCTGACCCCGTTTCTTGGCAGTGTTCTAATACAATCATAAATAATACACTCGGATTGGCCGCCTAGGCGCCTTCCTAGGAACCCCTGAAAGTTCTGCCCTTTATTTCCGTCTTCTCGGACACATAAACCACCACTTCCCCCCTTAGGGCCATAGGCTCTATTCTACCATCCTCGCATCAGTTTCGACTTGCCATACTGCACGACACAATAAGACAACATGGTGGGAAGACAAGTATCAATGATAAACCAAGATTACGGTGAAATTGGCCAATCATTGATTGATGAAATAACGGATACATTGCGTACACGCAACGCATCGTTATTTTATATTGCCGAACAAAGATTATTCCAGATCACTGGCTTCTCTGAAACACAGCGAGGAAATTGCGTTGAAATACTCTCTCGAGTGCAATCTAGTGCTTTCCATGTGAGAATCAACGAAGAAACCGACCGAGACATCATACGTTTTCAACTCATCCCTTTTTTAAGTGAGAGGGACCTTGCCCGGACAGCGCATGAATTTGCTCAATCTAAGCATGATTTTATCCAATGGCAGCGCGACTCTCGAAGCCGGCGTGCCATCCGAACACGATTCGAGAGATTGCGGGAAGAGCGACAGCTGTCACCTCGAAACCTTTGATCATCTTCGTCTCGTCATATCTACACCAACGAGGGCGCAACCTACCTTGCAGCAATGTGGCTAGCGCTCACAAAGCCATCACGGTAGATATCTCGCACGGCGCTGAATGCTCCGAATATACATCCCAACTCTCGCGCTTGCACCGATGTTATTTGTGGAAATCCGCCGACTTTTCTACGCTCTCCGTATGTGTTCAAAGTAGAAGAAAGCATTTGAATTCTACATATGGCACTGAATATCTCGCCGCAGATTACTCCATGCAATTATGCATTCCGATCGAAAGTTTTGTGTTCCTCGTCATTTGCGTACCCCGCCCTCGCTGTTCTATCTCGGCTCATTACAAAATTATGAGAAAGTAGATAGAAATGTCATCAAGAAGCTCAAGAGGCCACAAGATGCTAGTAATTTCGGTAAGAAAATTACAAATCAATTAGTGAACTGTCAGTAATATAGTTAGTGTAAGCTAGATCAGATCACATGATCCTAGTAAGAACACTGAATAACTGCGCGCTCAGAGATAGAAGAATGGACAGACAGATGCATTTACTCGACTGGATATCTATTGGTCCAACTTCACCGCGCTGATTACGTGTTTTGACATGAACACCGTAGCACGTGATAGCGCCTTTCAATAAAATTCAATACTTGAGACGGAGCTAAGTCGGAGATGGATTAGTGTGTTTCGGACTAGGGTTCGAGATAGACTCTATGAGAGCAAAGTGGTGAAACTGATTTCGATCCATCCTGTAGTGATAATATATGCTATAAGTGCGCAACTAGCTTATCTTATGTCTTGATTAATGGGTTCCTACAAAGATTTCGTTACTATATCCTAAGAGACTTCTCATTCTAACATATCAGATTAAGTGCTCCTAGGAAAAGAGCTAGTAGTCTCTGAGAGCAATTTTATAAGGGTATCTGTTGATAAGGAGAGTGTCAGATGAACAACCAATACAAAAGAAAGCTATAGTTGACTCTAGATACAAGACATAGCGCAAGGAAGCAAAAGAAAGATAGCTCACTTGCGTTTAGGCGATCTGCTCATGTGAGTCTACTTCCACTTACCGTATACAATCCATGTCAGTCCCTGACAAAGTTCAGACACGCTCCCAGGAGCAAAATTGGCTTTACTCAGTCGTGTCTCACCGATTATACTATACCAAAGTAGATTTAATTTACAGGTAGCTGTAGCTTGTGGGAACATTCTTTATCAGAGATTTTGGGGAGGAACTTCAAAAATATATTACTATACCAACGGTCTTACGAGTGAGTATCTGATATTGATGCTCGAAGATATTTTCTATATAGCAGATCATTCTATGTTTACTGTAAATACCCATAGGGATCATTGTGAGCGTATGCTTTCCTAGGTAAGAAACATATACTGAGTAAGAAGACCTGGTGACACAGCTCGGCTGGAAGTTAATGAAGGATATTTGCCGCAGATTTCTGTGTAAATTTTACAATGATTGCCAAATGACCTGGAGAATGTTCTCAATCTTGGATCTTTAATTCTTATTTACAGTTTACACAAATGGAATGACGAACGTCGGTCCCAGGAGCGATTTGATCCTGGGGAACTGAATCACAGCACTAAATTCGTGGGCTTTATGTTGAATCGGGGTGCGCAAACTATCAGTTCACCTGTTCATTATAACAAGCAGTATCCTGTATAATAGCGTTTCAGTCGTATATACCACGAAAAGTTCTACCTGTCCTGGGAGACAGGTCACAGGAATAGTCGAAATAATTTGCTGTAATTCAGATATGTACATAATAGGATGGGAAAGGAGAATGACGGTCATACCTCTCTACCTAACACCCCCAGGAGCCCGGTCCCTGACAGGGTGCTGTAATGCTGGCCTCCTACGTGGTCGGACCGACCGGTGAGATTGGGACCGAGAAGGAAAAAGATGCGGGGCAAGACTAAATGTTTAAGCTGTTATGCTCATGGGAGCGTGTCTGGAGCTCAGCTGACTTTGAAACAGCACCATCTCTCTTTGACACACCGGAGATCCCAGACGCCTCATAGATGGATGAGCAGCTTGAACGTAAAAATTGGGCATATGTATCGAGGTGATGTAAAGTATGACTGTTTTATGTATGGGCTCTAAGGAGACACGGCATATATTTTTGGACAATATACACTAAATCAGTGATAGTTGCTCTTCCCACTGAGTCGCCGGGCGTTAATAAATTGTGTGTTTGTGTGTGTGTACAACAAGAAACCATCTGGGATGCTTACACTAGGTCAATAGTGAATTCAAAAATGTTGCTATGGGCGAGAATGGGAATCCTGAGCTCGAAATCCCTTATTGGTCTCAAGTACCGAGTCTCTCCTTAGATCAAGGAAGCCCATTCCGAGTTTGGGTTTGCATTTAATACATTTTAGTAGAATAGGCACAAGCGCATTTGATGCTGGCCAGTATGTATCAGGAACACCTCTTGATGAAATTGCGGATTACTTGAAAATTCAAATCTGTCTTCATACCTTGGCATCTGATTGAGCAAATTCATGCGAATATTCCTTGATATCTCCCCATCTAGGAGTATCAGACTATAGCTACCTTGTTACATGTATTAGACCCACTGCCATGAAAACGATGGACTGCATTGAGAATCTCTTGGCCGTTTCAATCCGGCATGTCAGTTTGAATATATCCAAATTCACATCTGAATTCAGCCACGACGCTGCCCGGCTAATCGTTCAGACCGGCGAGGCTCTCCGCGGGTGTGGTGCGGTGGGATTGCCAGTCTAGCCGACCGACGGGTACCTTGTCTCACGGCTTGATCCATCAATCTACGAGATGATTGTCTCGTCACCACCGGTTCGGATTGCTGTCCGTCAATCAGACTCGAAATATCGGGATATACGGGGCCGAGTGTGTTTTCATCAACTGAAGCCGTGAATGATCCTTCGGATGCACCAGATGCCAGAGGCACCCTTGGTGAACGGACCAGCGCATCCAATGTCCCTCTTCTTCGGCTGGTAAACGTTAGGACACCAACCAGTCTTCCATTTTGGAACTTGCACTTACCACACGCAGCAAGATTGATCGAACCCCGAGTCCCTTTTCTCCAGCCACTCCTTCACGCAGACCAAGTGGGCTAAGCTTGTACATTCGTTGCACCGTAATACCACACACTCATCCGCCTGATCGCCATCTTCAGCCAAGCAAAACGTGCAGTGAATTTCAGAAACCTCATCACTCAGACTGACACTTGCGATTTGCAGTTCCCGGACGCTGGCACGGATATCGCCAGCACATGGGAGAATACCTGGTTGAGTAGGTGGTACGTCTCGTGGAACATAATCTGCTCGGACCATGGTGGTTGAGATATACGGTTCGGTGGTCTGTGATTCCTCGGTGACTATCGACGTCTCGATGGATGAGACTTCCACGGCTTCGTTTTCGGCTGAGTGTAGAGACCCGTCTCCGTCTAGGAGGGATGGATAAGGAGCAAGTTCTGATCCAATACCACGCAAAGACGATATCGGCAATGAAGGCTGAGGATCAGCAGGGGATGGAGCCCCTATGGCACGATTACGCATCGCCGTATCATACCACTGCTTCCCTAGAGACTCTGCTTGTCGCTCTCGGTGCCATCGTGTACACAGAAAGTTCTTGGCGATACTGCAAAGCAAAGGTTGCAGATTCAAAGAATCAAATGGATGACGAGAGAGGCCCTTCAGGCGCTCCCGACCTGTCGTCAGCTCTTTCCCCCGGATGCTGTTTTTGCAAGGTGTCCCGTGGATTGTCATCCCACAGCAGGACGAACCATCACCGCGAGGGCCGGCTCCCATTTCACAAAGGGTCAGGGGGTCCCAGCAGGGTAGGGTGGTCATGTTGAAAGAGTAGTTGAGTTAAGTAATTAAACAATGTCTAGACTGTGTATTTGAGGCGCATCAAATCAATGCTGCGACTACGGTGACTCTGCTGAATTTATACCTCGTTTTCGTGAGGCTTTCACCAAGAAGCAAGGGTCTCGCGACAGCCAGCTCCCAGGAATTCCGATGCTCCTCCTTGTTTTCACCAGTAGGTCCTCGAGTATCATGACCGAGGCCCTGCTGGGTGATAGATAATAGCACCACGCCATATGATGATCATCTGCACCAGTGGCTTGGTAGATGAAAGGTATGTATTGGGCCTGAATGTACAGTGCCGACCGCTATCGCCTTCCATGTCGGAAACAGAGAGCAGCTCTTTCAAACCCTAATTATGCCATAGATCTAAACTTAGTATGGAAAGTCCGCCCTCGGAGTTACCGCTTTAGGCGTAAGTTAGTCATGTGCTAAGGGTTTGAAACTGCCTCTTTATGTTTGCAACATGGAAGGCGATAGTGGTCGCCACTGTAAGCAGCCTTCGTTCCGTGGATGATTCGAAGTGTACTCTGTAGACATATCCCACAAGAAGGAAGTGCACCGGGGCTTCTGCCAAAGTCGACATTCACATTCAGTGACTGATTCAGAATTGATGCTAGGCTGGAATGCAGAAATCAAGTTTGATGTTGCTCCATCAGACAATGTTTCGTGATTCACAGCTTCCGCTAGGAGTGATCCTGGGAGCCGTGGTGTCCTGTGACACTAATTTTTATTCTCCAGCATTTGTTCCGCGTCATACTTGCTTCATTGGGCAATGGTTCCAGTGGTCATTGGGCTGTATCTCGATTGAACGGACCAACATCATCCAATAAGGGAGAGCCTGAGTCACTTTAGACATTCCATCGGGAATTAATCAACAGTATTTGTTTCAGCGATACTGGAACATCCGTAATGCACGTCGCATGGACAATATGTTGAGACTCTCAGTGAAGCGACAGGCATTACCGCAGAAATTGACCAACAGAGGAATTTGTTGGTTTCCATCGATCTAAGTGTGCCGAGATGATCCGCTGTTTGCGGTCATATTTTGCGGTTGACAAGTGGATATGAAGCTCTGAGGGACTGATATCCTGTGCCATACGTCTGCCCTAGATGTGAGTCCATGACCGCCACAACAGTTGAGGAAAGCGTGAAAAAGATTCTTCAACGTTTGTTCAATCTTTACACTTCGTCTGGCTCAAATCTTGGGCTACCTGGGACCATCTGATTAGTTGATAGCGGCGAAATTCACCAGGGAGGTCCAATCATATCCTCATTAGGTGAATACAAGCATCAAGAGCAGCTATCGACGGGTGCACAGAAATCCCCTCACCAGAGGGGGACGTAGGG